GCTTTGCTAGCGGGGAAATTCTGGGTGTTGAAATCCTCCAGGCTTAAAGTTGCCAAGGTTGAAAACCCTTGCTCTGGAGAATGAATCAACACCCGCTTCCCTGTGACAGCCCTTCCAAGTACTGGAAGACAGCTATCATGTCACCTCTAAGCCTTCTCTTCGGTGTCCCTGAAGGGCTGATGCTTAAGTCTCATGGATGGTATGAACACCCCACCGTCTTGAAGAGAGCCACATTATGGATAGAGAGGACCGCTGGTTTGAAAGAGGGGTAAAAGAATCCATCTTTGTTAGAATTGAGCAGCCCTCTCTCAGCAGACGGGGAGGGGTAAAACCCCCATCTATTTTTAGTCTGCAATGCTGCAATCAATTGCACTTGGACTCAGGTGACCTTGAGGGCACAGATAAACCTTCAAGTGGCCTCAAGAGCTCTCAAAGAGAGTGATAACAACCAGATGACTGCAAAGAAATACAATCTTTACATAGAGATTGTGTGTGTGTGTGTGTGTGTGTGAGAGAGAGAGAGAGAGAGGGAGGGATGGGGAGATACAGCATCCTTTCAGAACTTATCCTTCCATCCAGGGATGGGCTGCTATGGGTTCAGCCAGGTTCGGGAGGACCCAATACTAACGTTATGGCTGGTTCAGCGAACTGCCAAATCCCCCCCCTGGTTGGCTCCTCCCACCCCTCCTAGGAATCTCCACACCACCCGTTTTGGATGCAAGGTAAGTGCAGGGCCCACGTGGAGGCAGAAAACGGGCCTCTGGGAAGCCTGGAAACAGGCCTATTTCCAGCCTCTGGAAGGCCTCCAGAGCCCGGGGGAGGCAGTTTTCACCCTCCCAGAGCCTCAAGAAAAGCCTCTGGAGCCTGGGCAGGTGAAAATGGGGCCCCTGCCGTGGTGTAGGACGCCAACGAGGCCACGCCCACCATGGCAACACCCACCCAGCAGCCAGGCAGAGAACCCCATTATTGAAAGTTTTGTAGCCCACCCCTGCTTCCGTCCCTCCACCATCCAGCCTCAACTGATGAAGCTTCTTGGATGAGAAGCAAAACGTTTTCTTCACCAAGGAATAAACAGTCCAGTTGTCTTTTGAATAAAGCACCTTTGAGATAACTATGACTTGGATGACTGAGAATCTCCACAGACACCCCGTTTTGCATACTCCATCCAGGGGAGATCCTAGTTCCCTTTTCCATGCTGAGGGCCAGCCGGTCTAAACTCATGATGTACCACTGGGAAAAGATCCAGATCAGCCTGGCACTGTGCTATCCAGGCCCATGGGTATTAAATGGCCTTTTTGCACATTTTCCAACCTCTCGACAAATAGCTTTTATTAAAAGCAGATTGTTCCAGATCTTTGAATTCTTTCTTAATATCAGATTGATTGTGTAGGTTGAACAAACAAAAGTTGGTTTACTATTATTATGTACAAGTAAACTGACCCAGACAATACAGTTTACTAAGCATTTATGTATGTTAAATAAAAGTGTGTGTGGGTGTGTGTATATTATATATATATAAACATGTATAAATGTATATATGTGTAAATGTATATATGTGTTGATGGCAGATGAGATTCTGCTGAAACGTCGCTACAACTTTAAAAGCACAACTATAATGACGTGGGAAAATACCCGAACAAAGCTGAATACCATACATACATACATACATACATACATACATAGTATTCAGCTTTCTAAATATATATAAAGTTGGTTTCACTTTTTGTGATGTTTAGAAGAAACTGGTAGTAGGATTTAAAGGCATTTCTGTAGCTTTCCTAAATCTTTGTTAATCTCTTTTAAAGTGTACATGTTTGACAATGAAATAAAAAAACCTAGGTAACCATCACCATGTCCCCTGCAGGACACAGAAAAGGCGTAGAAATAGTAAGTGATTAATAGCATGAAATATGAGGAAAAAAGGGGCTCCAATTTATAACTATTTTGTATCAAAACTACTCTCTTTTCTATCCTTGCAAACTCATCCTTGATTCCACTTACATCCGTACATAATTTTTTTGGTATCGTTTAAATCAGGTTTTCCTAACCTTGGCGACTCTTAAGATGCATGGACTTCAACTCCCAGAATTCCTCAGCCAACCAGACAACAAAACATCTCTTACAGATAGCCCTCGCCTTATGACCACAACTGAGGCCAAAATTTCTGTTGCTAAGTGAAACAGTTGCTAAGTGAGTTTTGCCCCATCTTATGACCTTTCTTGCCACAGTTGTGAATCACTGTAGTTATTAAATTCATAACATGGTTGTTAATTGTACCTGGCTTCTTCATTGATTTTGCTTGTCAGATCACAAAAGGGGATTGTCAGAACTCTGACAATCCACCCCCTTTCGAATCATGAGTCTCTGGCTGCATCTCTCAGAGTTTTAAAAAAATCATTTATCAGGAGTGAACATGTTGGGGTTTCCTGGGTGAAGCTGACACTGAGACACATCATTCATCTCACCCTTGACCCTGGTCTTCCTCCACCCCCTGGATGTATATTCTCTGATGGGACGCATCCATAGCCAAGAGCAATCAGTCATGCTCTCCAGTAATAATCTTGCATTCCAGAAGCTTCGGCAGCCTAGCAATTATCTAAGGTATGCATTACTCCCCCTACTCCCTTTCTGCAGGCAACTCTAAAAGACCAGAGGAATATTTTTGAGTTAAGAGGATCACATGACCTCAGGACACAGCAAGCGTCATAAATTATGAGCCAAGCACCTGATTTTTGATCACATGACCATGGGGATCCTGTTACAGTGCTAGGTGTGAAAAAGTCACAAGTCACTTTTTTCAGTGCTGTTGTAACTTTGAACGGCCACTAAAGGGATAGTTGTAAGTCTAGAACAACCTGTACTTGGTATATTTCTTTCACCATTCAAACATCTTAAAAATTCTTAATCTGTTTTCCCACCTTAAGAGGGGTGGGGAAGAATATAATTCCCAATTAAGCTCCTGGATAGCTAATTATTTAATATATTTTACTTTGGAATTCTAAGGAAGGTAACTAAAGGAGACCACAGGCAATGAAGCTAGTAACCTCTTAAAAAGGAATTAAATCTTCATCTTGGGGAAAAGGATACTATTGGCTCCAGCTTTGTATCAACCTTCCACATTTTCAGGCATGCGTGTTCTATGTATTTATGTGTGTGTTGCTTTCCTTCCCGCCATGACTAGCTTTAGCAGAGGTTGAAACTGATCAAAGCATCTTGGCCTTCTGAACATTAACATGAGAAGCCACCAAACCATCAGAAAGCAAAGACAGTTGTCCCAATTTGACATTCACCAGGTACAGGTTAATCAAAATTGAACTTTATTTGCCAAGTTCTGTGTAACAGTGCAATGTAATACAAGCTCTAACAACTCCACTGCTGTGGCCAAAATTTCAGTTATCGTCACAGTAGATAATTGTCCAAGACTGGCATCCGAATCAGGTTCCTGTCCCAACAGGGTGCAGCTCAGAAGTCTCCAAAACCGCATGCAGATGAAGTAAGGTGCGAGTTGACACTTGCCTCCACCCAAACTTGGCAGTGTCCAAATGGACTAGAGGAGGAGACTAGCAAGGAGAAGCGGGAGAAGGACCAACGAAGGCCCGAGGAGGAGGCCTCCCTTGGAGCGCTCAACAGGTTTATGTTTCATAAGCTGATCGTTCAGATGCTGAATCTCCATTCTGTGGAAAGAGAACATTGTCACATTAGAAGCAGAGGTGGAATTCAGCAGGTTCTGATCAATTCTGGAGAACCCGTAGCATCAATTTTGAGTAGTTCGGAGAACCGGCAAATCCCATCTCTGACTGGCCCCGCCCCCATCTCTTCTCTGTCTCCCGAGTCCCAGCTGATCGGCTGGGTCTCCTTTTGTTGTCCTGCACAGGAGAACAGAGCTGGAAAGCAGATTAGTGGGGTGGGGAGGGAATGCGGATTTTACAGTATCCTTCCCCTAGACTGGGGTGGGAATGGAAATTTTACAGTATTCTTTCCCTGCCACACCCACCAAGCCACACCCACAGAACCGATTGTAAAAAAAATTGAATCCCATCACTGATTAGAAGAATATTTTTTAAACATTTGCACTCAGCACCCCTTCTTGCCCTTAAAAATTATGGATGACTCCACAAGAGCTTTGATTTGTATGGGTTACAGTTATCCATATTTTCTGAATTAAGTTTAAATACCTGTATTTCTACACTATTTACTCTTTGAATCATGTAGAACAACCTAAAGTCCATTAGCTAATAATATAAATAAAATATTTTTTCATGAGAAAAATGTATTTTTCATAATGCAAAATAATAATAACAAAGTGACCCCGTTTTACAATTTTGCAAATATTTTCAGTGTGTGGCAAATAATTTTGAATTTGTGGATCCTCCAAGAGGGTCTTGGTGAACTTTCAATCTACCTGAGAATTCCAAGCAGGGAAATTCTTCAAAACTTAAAGGTTTATATATAGAATTATAATTTTGTGTTCTTACTGTTGTTGCTTGTTCATCTCTTGTAATTTGGAGAGTTGCTGCTTAAGCTGTTGAATCTCCTCTAAAGAAAGGAACGAAGAGTCACAAATTATCTTCTGCTTCTTAAACTAAGATAATATTGCAGTATTCTTCCCCACTCTCTGCAATTTCTTTCCTTTATATTCAAGCATGACTTAGAGTTTTCTTGACATTATTGAAAGGTTGGGCTTAAACGCTTTTCCTCCAAACTTTCACACAGCACATCTAAGTTACCATAATGCCCCTTAAGCATCTGATAAATTGACCCGGGGATTAGAGATCTGAAGAGATACAATTCAGTTTTGGTGCCCCCAAAGTCAAATGATACCAGAGCCACTCCCAAGTTATTAATATCAAGGTAGAGCAAGTAAAGATCAGACTACAATTCCATAAAAAAGATGGGTTCATCCCTTAGATCATTTCTGATTTGTCAAATATATCAAAAGGGCAACCAAAGTAGGGCTCTGACTTTGATTGTCCAAGAAAAGTCTTTCTCCTTAAACAGATGCTATAAGACGGGATAAAAAAAGGAGTTTATTGGAGAAAGGGAAATAAAGGGAAAACAAGAGAAGGTTGCAATTGCACACGTACACAAAATTCCTCTTTCAGTGGACACCATCAGCTAAGCTAAACTAGTTACTGTGCCGTCCTTGGTGACTTCTAAGCTTGGCTATTTTCTTGAAGACGTTTCATTACCCAACTATGTAACATCATCAATGCTAATGATGCTACCTAGCTGGGTAATTAAGCATCTTCAAAAAAACAACAACAGCCAAGCTCAGAGAGCACCAAGGACCCCACAGATCAACCCTGAATTACAAATATTCACTTCTGTTGAAACTAGTTAACTACAATACCTCCCTGAGTAAGCTCTTATGTTTCACTTGTTGCAGAAAAGCTTGCTTCCAAATCAGAACACAAGACCACGAAAGGTTGGAGAGTACAGGTTTTATTTGTGCACAAGGTTCAGAGCATTAGCATGGCAAATTCTGAACCCGCCCCCCCACCCCCTTCTTCCTGAGGCTTCACTTTTATACATAGTATGACCTCAGATTAGACCGGGGCCTTTATTACATTTTACCAAAAAAGGAGAATAATGTCTATAAAGGAAATAAAGAGAAGTACATTTTTTGATTACTCAGTTATCTTTCACCATGTGTTATTTTCCATGCCCACCTTTGTTTACAGTAACGTGGTTAGTTTCTTAATTCAGCAATTTGTGGTTTTGGACAATATTATGTTAAGCAAAGCTTAGGGGAATTGGGGACTTTTGCTAAATATAAAAGTGCTTTATGTGTATATTTTCAACTGCTTCACACTGAGAGATCATAGGAGAGAGAGATATGTTTTGAACTCTGGGCATAGATGTCCATTGACCCTTCCTTGTTAATTGTTCCTGTTTTCTAAGTGTTTTTGTAGGCATAAGCTAAGCAAGCTACACAGCCGTGCAGTTCAAAGGGACCTCTCAAAAATTCTTTTTTTTTTCATTTGTCATAGTTTTATTATAATTTCGTCTATGAAAATCCAGTCTGATGAGGCTCTTACGACTCTCACTAATTGATTAAAATCTGCTTTGCTTCTGCATGCATTCCCACCATTTCTTCAAAGAGGATTGTTCTATACCTGTGATGGTGTGGTGGCACGCAAAGCCATTTGTGTGGGTAACGCGAGTCCCAGGCAAACTTACCTCACTGTACATGCACGTGTCTCCCAGATAATTTTCGGGTCTTTTTCAGCCAGCCAGAGGCTTGAGGGAAACCTCTGCAGGCTTTTCAGGACAAAGAATAGGCCCATTTTGTCACTTCCTGTATTTTTAGAAATACTGGAAATGATGAAACGGGCCCATTTTTTGGCCTGCAAAGGCTCCCCTCAAGCCTCTGGCAGACTGAAAAAGGCCTCAAACAGGCCGAAAATCAGCTGGGAGGTGCAGTGCAGGTAAGGGGGCGGCGGGAGGGCGGAATTGCGTGCACATGAGCAAGGGGCGTGGGGGGCACAGGAGCCCAAAAAGTTAGCCACCACTGTTCTATACCCTGTTATGGGTTTGTTGTCATCTTGGTGGGTATTCTTGCCAAACAGGGTTGTTCCACAGCTTTATTCTCTATTAGCATTCGCCAAATAGAGCCTCTAGTTTTCATAATTTAGGATATCGCCCTGTCTGACTAGTTGCAACCCCCTCACTTCCCCTGTATTTTCCTTTCACCAATAAACACTTAAAAAAAAGATCTGGATATGTTTTCATTGATTTTGTAAGATAATTTCTCATGAAAAGTTTCCCTACATGCTCAGGGGTTATATAGTTACCTCTTCTTTTTCTTTGGCACGAATTAAAGTTTCCAAAATTTAAAAAGGCAAAGAACTCTCCAGTTGGACAGCCTAGAGGGTGATCCACTATCATTATTTTTATTGGGAGTCTTGTCACTAAATCAGCTTCATCAATATGGTTCTTAAGTCTTTTTAAAATCTAAACACCTTCCCTTTTGCAATGGGGCTCAGAAACTGCATAATGGCAGCCCTCATTATCCAATTCTTTACTTCTAATACTTCCCACATTACTGTATACAATCCTGCAGAATGTTAAAATTAAAGCCAGGTTTTAATGAGGTGAAGGGAAGGTACCTTGCAGCTATATATCTTCATGGACTAAAAAAAGTGTTAATGAATTTTGTCTTCATAAAGATCCCAACAACGGTGCTGATTCAGGAAGTAACATGAATGCCAGAGTAGCAATAGCAATAGCACTTAAACAAACATACCGCTTCACAGTGCTTTACAGCCCTCTCTAAGCAGTTTACAGAGTTAGCATACTGTCCCCAACAATCTGGGTCCTCACAAAGGATGGAAGGCTGTGTCAACCTTGAGCCAGTGAGAATTGAATTCCTGACAGTGGACAGTGGAGTTAGCCTGTAATACTACATTTTAGCCACCGCACCACCATGGCTCTAATCTAATACCTTGTATGACTCAAGGTACTGATGAAAATGTCACTTGGGAGCAAATCGTGTTCTAAGCAGGGACAAAGCTTTTCCCCATTGTCTTCATCTACACTATCTATGAGTTCTCTTCCCAAATTCAATCTATTATCACCCACCCTGGTCCCCATTGGTCCACCTCACCTTCAGCAACTTTGTTTTTCTCCCTTTCTTGCTGGACAGCTTCCTTCACTTGGGATGTGGCATTTTTTTCCACGCTTTTCTAGATGGAGACCAAAAGGAAAGGTATCTGTCAATTCCAACATTGTTGTGTGGCACCTTCTCTTTAAGACATGACTAGCATCCTAAAGTCTAATAGTGCTGTGATGTGTCAGAGCAGAAGGTCAGAATTGCGCAAGCCACAGGAGCAAATTTGGGAGTTGAAGAAACAAGAGAGAAAGAGTATTGACACTTTTGAATTCATACTAGAAGCTTCAAGATCTTCCCTCTCAAAGATGGGCTTCTATGATTTATAGATGCTATAAATCTTACTGACCAAGAGCCATGCAACCAATGGAAACCTGTTGCATAGTGTCTCCTTCTGCTCAGTAGCATTTATAGCACAACGGTAATACTTTTAAGTACTGTATTTTGGATGTCTGGAAATTCTCATTCATCCAGGTCGTGGTTGTCTCAATGGTACTTTTTCCAAAGGCAACTCACTTTCTTTGCTTTTGTTTTTCCTTGAAGACATCTTCAAGGAAAAAACAAAGAAAGCCCAGTTGCCTTTGGAAAAACACCTTTGAGATAGTTTAAGTCAGGATGTCAAACTCGATTTTATTGAGGGCCACATCAGGGTTGTGTTTAACATTGAGGCATTGCGGGGCGTGGCCAGGGTGTGTGTGGCCAGCTCGATGTCATGTGTTGAGGGTACCTGTGACGGCCCAAGCACTCTGCCAGTGAAAACTGAGCTCAGGAGGGCCACTCCTTTTTCACTTGCAGAGGCAACGTGGGCCGGTCCTTTCCTGTTTCCAGGGTGGGCCCACAGGCCAGATCTAAGCACCCCACGTCCGGCCCACGGGCCTTGAGTTTGACACCCCTGGTCTAAGTATTTTGGTTCTTGGAATTCTGAGAGGCTTCTCAGGAAGTTACATGTCTAGCAGAACTGCGGTTTCTGGTGTCTATAAAGGACAACTGAAGATTGACTTTTTTGAAATATTTGTTCAGGAAAACTCTGTGTGTGTGTGTGTGTGTGTGTGTGTGTGTGTGGTGGGGGAAGGGGGGGAGACAAAAGGGAATTTTTTCACATACCAAGAGGCCCAGAGATTGTTTACTTGACCTTCCCTTCCACATATGCCTATTCTCCCTGTCATGACTCACTATAATTAATTTCATCATTGTTTTAAACCTACTGAAGTTTGTACCAAGAACATTTTGAGAAACTTAAAATTGCTCTGCTGCATTCTTGGAATTATGCTTGAAATCTGTATGTCTGTCTGTCTGCTTGCCTATCTGCCTATCATCTGTCTGTCTGTCTGTCTGTCTGTCTGTCTCTCTCTGTCTCTCTCTCTCTCTCTCTATCTATCATCTATCTATCTCATTTATTTTCTAACATTTCTAGCCTATCTGAATCTTAGAGAATTCTTGATGGTGTACCAGGAAACCAAGAGTGAAAGAGAAAGAGGGGCGGGGGGGATAAAACCATTATAACAATCACTTAGGACAAATAAAGTTGATTTTGTTGTTACCTTGAATGGATTTTTGTCAATCCATTTTATCCTTTAAAGTTGTCTAGCAGAGAACCTCCTCTGTGGTCAGAATGCCCAATCTGGCAGGGTTCCCCAATCACTTCATGTCAGAAAAATAAGCTATCATCTAATAGACTGAAAGAATCTCAGATTGGAGGGATCTGTTTTATGCTCAAGAATTTTCTTCCTGTTGCTTCTTGGATTATTAAGTTAGCCTACAGCTTAAGTTTACAGTCAACGATTTGCAACTGATAGCTGGAGATAAGCATTGTTTATTGTTAATCATTGATTAGGTTCAGCGGTTAGATAAATAAATGTTATTGTTTTTGCCGAATGAAACCATTTCCACTTTTTATTTAGTTCTTACAATTTGTTTTATGTTTTTTTGCAAATTAATGCAGCCATTAAAAGTGCTTAAAATATACTGGAAAAAGAGAGAGACTGGGGGTAAATATTGGAAACTTATTTGCCAGAAGTTTTATTAAGTAAAATCCGAGATATATCATTTCATTATTTTTGTTGACTTTTTAATTCCTGCCAACAGACTAATTGCCTGAAATGATTCGAATCCAAAAGGTAAGCCAGCCATTTTTTAAAAATCAAGTTCTGTAATAATAAAAAATAACAATAAGTTTATTCAATTAATTATACCATCATGCTGAAAGATTCACACTACCCCACAGAATTAAAACATCATGGGGAAAAATGCAAATACTATAGGAAATCAAGGAGGGACGGGAGGATACAAATCAGTTCTAGACATCCATCAAATTTTCCTGTTTTGACTTTTGCAGTTTTCCTTGCATGGGTCCTTGGCCTGACTATGCCTGCTTATCAACTCATAAAACAGGAGCCTAGAAGTTAAGCAAGAATTAGATAATCTGGAACCCTCCCAATGTTTTCAACTACAAGCCCCAGACAGCAGGCGAAATCTAGCCATTGCTATTAAAAACAATCAGAGAGAACAACTGAAATTTGGTGAGCCTGCATACACTTAATTTTCTTGGATATTTTTTGGGGTGGGGGTGGGGAGGGCAGCAGATGCACATTATTAGCCTGCCCTAATTGAGTATGTGTGTATATATGTGTGTGGGGTGTTTATGTGTGTGTCAAATACAGGGAGATAGGACTTTTGTGTATTGTTGGTTGGACTGCCATCTTGTTCTTGTTTTTTCTGTTGTCGAATAACCCATCCACCTTTTAGTTTGGAATCATTTCAGGCAATTAGTCTGTTGGCAGGAATTTTAAACAGACAACAAAAATAATGAAATGATATATCTCATATTTTTTTCAATTATTCATATTTTATTTTATTGTTTGTTGTATTGTGACTCACCCAACAATGTCTGGACTCCCTGGGGGGTGGGGTGGGGGGAACTCCTATATTAATCAAGTCAAGTCATGCCTGGGAAAGGCTCTTAAATTAATCAAACCAACCAAGGTAAACTTAATAAACTAAACTGCGGATTAATGGGGGCGGGGGCGGGGAGAGAGTAAGTACAGCATCCCAAGTTTGTTAAGGATCGTGTTAGAATTTTCCAATAATAATAATAATAATAATAATAATAATAATAATAATAATAATAA